ATTTTAGTTCCACATTCAAAATAAGAGAGAATTATTCTCATCAATTGATGTTGTTAACGGATGTAGCAGCTTTTTCCACCGTGTTTTCATTAAATTTGATTCTAGTTAACTTAAAAGGGTCCATAGATTCCTAATTCATATATAGCTACGTCTCAAAAATTCAGAGGAAGTGCTCTCTGTTTTGAAATCACTTTAAGTATCTTGGAGAACTGATATGGTAACAAGTTTTTTACTTAAACTCCTAAACATGATATTTTGCTACCTACTTAGATACTGCGTTCGGTTGTTGGTATAATAAAGGTACGCAGACTCATTGGAAAACTCTACCATGTTAAAATAGTCTATCTTATTAATTCATTTCATTTGTTGATTGTCAGTGTGCTAGTGATCTTGTGTCTTTGAATGGAGTTAAAATAGATACAACTTAAATACTTGAAATGTCTAAATAAAAACCGTTTTACAAGACAAGATATCAGAGTGAACGATCAAGAATGGGTCAAAAAAGAGTACATAAGTATAAAGACAATTTGAAAACATCATTTCGACTAACGCTGTTAACACAAAATTCCTTGGCAAAAACTACAAAATGCTTAACGAAGGTATCTTCTATGGGGTGAAGAGGCTTGAACATTTCAATGATCCTAGGAGCAATGCGCCCGATTAATTGATAGTGCCTCCCATGCCGGAGAAGTTACAGGTAAGGGATTAGACAAAGAGAGATACCCCGGCTCTCCAATTGCTAAAAATTTATTAAATCTCAGACTTTAGACGGAAACAAATTAAGGCGACAAAAAGCAATTCGAAATAGAATGATGAATTTCAGAGCATGGTATATTCAAGGCTTCAGCACAAAGAAAAAAGAAGTAGAAGAATAAAGAAGTTGAAATAAGTATAACATTGACATTAGGAAGCGAACTCAAACAAAGCCTAAAGGAGAAGGCAACGCAGAAGAAGAACTGACAACTTGACTGAATTGGTCCACTGGACTCGACTCGTTAACCGAATAATCCTCGTTCCCGAAAGTGGCCTCTATTTAAACCCCTACTTCCTTTCTAGAAGTTCCGCGGTCGAGAGTACCCATCTCCGCCAAAATTAATATATGAAAAAACATATAGAATATCAATGAATGATAATTCAGAAGGAAGAGCCGACATCGATATCTATGTCGATGGTGCCAAAATAGATAGTGGTTCAGAAGCCGGTATCTACTCCGAACAACTGATCGCACGTCTGTCTTACAAACAGAACTGATGGGAATAATACTGGGAGCTAGAATCGTTGCTGAACGAGAAATCGGCAACAAATCAATACGCATACTTACTGACAGCAAATCTGCACTAGCCCTGGACAGCTGTATGGTTCGATCCGGGCTGGTTTGGGAGTGCAGACAAACGCTAAGGTATGTAACGCAGAGGAACAGTGTAGAACTTTGTTGGATCAAAGGACACAGTGGCAACGAAGGAAACGAATTCGTAAAGCAATATATCCATAAACGCCATGAGCAGATATCGGCGACGTTGAGCAGCTGTCGGCAAAGTAGAGCTTGTATGGCGACACCAGACCGTAAGTTGACGAAATTTTATCTCTCACTTTCAAGGGACAAACTGCGTAAACTGGTAGGATTCCTTACGGGACATTACCAGTTTAACAAACATCTACATACGATGGGGGTATTACCAGATCCAATCTGTTGTGGATGCAATGAAGAAGAGGAAACAGCTGAGCATTTTCTTCGTGAGTTTCCAGCCCTAGCCTCTTACAGAAAATCCATACTAGGGAACATCTGGCCTAGTATAGCAAAAATCTGGGAGTTTCCACCCTCTGCATTACTCAAGTACATTCAAGCAGTTGGGTGGCTTGACGAGTAGAGGAGCGGGAAAACACCCTGATATGGACTTGGGGAAGGTACAATGGGGCCAAAGGGCTACGGTCAGCCCCCATAATCAAGAATCCAAAATCCAAAACCCTGTAGATTTATTTTGTGTATAGAAAAAGTAATAACGTCGAAATTTCTGATCTTCACTCCAAGCAAAAATGGTTTCTTTGAGGTCAATCTTCATAGAATCCTTAACAAAGTTGCTATGGAATCCAGGGGTCGGTGGATACTATGATTGCGCAGATTTCGCCAATATCAGGGTTGCGTTAGTATTCCGATAAACTTAAAATAATTCAGCTTTATTTTTTGCTACCAGTACAAAGCTAAATAAGAAAAACTATTACTAACAAAAATAAAATTTCGAAGAGGAACAAAACAAAACAAGTGAAAACCCGGTCAGACGCAGCACCAAAGTTAATCTTGCCATGATGAACGACTTGCTCGAAAAACAAACATTTCCGGATGAATGGAAAATAGGGCAGGTTATCCTTATTTCTAAGCCTGGAAAATCCACAGGAATGGCGAATGTCTTTAGACCCATCTCACTGCTGAACTGTATGAGTAAGCTATTAGAACACATGATCGCGGCCAGAATAAATCACGAACTAACTGGCAAAAATTCGCTCTCACCAAATCAGTTTGGCTTCAGAACTGAAAGGTCTACAGTGGATGCCATTAGACAGGTCTTAGAAATAGCGGATAAGGCAAAGAGAGCATCAGGTAGTAGCAGGAAAAAATGGTGTGCCATGATCACTATGTGTGTTAAGAACGCGTTCAATACGGTGCTCTGGAGCGAAATAATAAAGGCTTTGAAAAAGAAAAACATCTCTAGGTACTTGAGAAAATTTATTACAAGCTATTTCTACAATAGAAAAATCCAAATAAATGGCAGGGAAGTAGCGGTGTCGGCAGGGATCCCACAAGGCTCAGTTCTCGGTCCTCTTCTATGGAACATCTTCTACGACGAGCTCTTAAACCTTAAAATTCCTGGAACCACTCTCGTAAGTTTCGCTGATGACCTTGCCCTACTGGTAGTAGCAGACGCACAGTACCATCTGGAATGTAGATCGAACAGTGCTCTTGATACTGTCTTCAGGTGGATGGAAGGCAAAAAGTTGGGGTTGGCTCTCCAGAAGACGGAAGCGGTTATACTGTACGGCCCTAGAAAAAGAGATACAGTTAGTTTTAACATCCGAAACGTAAGCATAAAACCAATTAAACAGCTAAAATACCTAGGGGTAATAATAGACCAAAATAGAAGCTTTGGGCCACACGTGGAATATACAACAGCAAAGGCAGAAAAAGCAGTTCCCTCCTTAGGAAGGTTAATGCCAAGGGTTGGGGGACCAGTAGCAACAGCTAGGAGAGTCATGCTAAACGGTGTTGCAAATTCCGTTCTTTTATATGCGTCACCCGCTTGGTATGAGGCATGCAAATACATTAAGTACAGGGAGAAGTTACAAAGTGCGCAAAGAAAGTCCCTCATAAGAATAACCAGTGCTTATAGGACGGTATCCACGGCGGCACTACATGTGATAGCTGCTGAACCACCGATAGACCTATTGGTGCAAGAGAGGCACGCACTGTTCGAAAAATCTAAAAAGGAAAAAATAACAGAAGGTATCAGACAGCAAGAGAAGAGGTTGGTCGTCAGTAGATGGCAAACAAGATGGACGGCAGAAAGTAAAGGGGCTTGGACTAAGAAACTCATACCAAGCATAAACGAATGGTGCCATTGTAAGCATAAAAAGCTTAATTTTCATCTGACCCAATTTCTGACGGGACACGGAGCTTTCCTTTCCTATACAAAGAGGATAGGCAAATCGGAAGACGATATCTGTCCACACTGCAACATCATCGACAGTCCTGAACACATCTTTTCATGCCGTAGATGGGAATATGACATAAGCGAAGTACAAAATGAGTTAGGAGTAGATCTGAAGCCGGAAAATCTGATAAAGCTTATGTTAGAGAGCCAAAACAATTGGGACCAAATCTGTGAATTGCTCATTAGGATTATGAAAGCAAAAGAAAAGGAGGAATGGGACAAGCAAAGACAGGAAAGCAGAGTGCTAACTTTTTAGATCATAACAATTGCGAGGAAGAAGAACAAAGACAATAAGGCAAGGAAGAAGACGACCAACCACCCTCCTGAAGTAATGCTCACGCGGTTCCGAGGGGGTAGGAGAACAGCTGGTCGAGAAAGAGGTTTTAGTCGGTAAAAGTCCGGCACTACCAGAGACGATCGAAGTCTCTAGTGCCCATGAGGGTTTCCCCTTTCACAGAAAAAAAAGCTCAGGTCAGGTCAGGTCAAAGAATTCTAATATAGATGCATGAAAGAAGATAAAAGTGTTCTATTCTGTACTTTTTTGTTGCTCTCAGGAATCCGTTACATTCTATAAATAAGTATGTTAAATTCTTAGGGATTTTTTTATAAAATCATTGTCAATTCCACACGAATAGAAAAATGCAAAATTATATATCATAATTGGTTACTTACTTTGACTTCTTGTCAGTTGTGGATTGTTTACTTTAACATTATTCCTTCTCGAATAAGGAAACTGAAGTTTATTTTAGTTTTGATTTATTCAGAAAATTGTACTCATAATTTTTTATATCAAACTATTATTATTATTATTTTTACTTAATCTTCCACTGTCCACCAACTACCATGCGTATACTCAAGTACTGTCAGTTGCATACATTTATTCATTTTAAGAAAATTACTTCAAGTATTTCGTACATAACCTCAATCTTCTTTTTGAACCTTGGTAGTAAAGTTGAACTTTACTACCTCTAAACAAGTCGATAATTCCATACTTCATGGCTACTAGTGAAAAAAAATTATTTTTAGTGATGAAGCATGGTTCCATCTCAATGGATTTGGAGCCATGAAAAGCCACATAAATTTATTGAAGAACCATTGCAACCTCAAAAAATTGGTGTGGGCAGCAATTAATTGGACCAATTTCAAAATAAATTATACATATTGTTACGTGGGCTTAATAAATCCTTGCAAAAGAAAAATAACTTTAGTTTTCTGACAAGAGAGTACAATTTTCAATCTTATTCCATTTTTTCTTTTCTGTTTATTTCATGAATATCTTGTAACACTGTCCTTCCCTTAATTATCGACGTCCTCGTCGTGTTTACTATAATACCACAACCGATCGCTATAAACTACTTTAGGTCTTCCCTGTCCTCTTTGAATACGGTAGACCACATCATTCCAGCATTTTTTTACTTCGTACGGCCCTTCCCAGTTTCTTTGAAGTTTAGGACTCCTTCCCCTACGTCTATGTGGATTGTATAACCACACCTTATCACCTTCTTTATATTTAGGACAATTTGCTCTAAAATCATATCTAGCTTTCATGTGGTCGCTGGTTAATTGTATTTGATTCCTCGCTAACTCATGGACTTCCCGAAGGTTTCTCTGCAAATTGCTGACCCATCCTGAGCTGATATGACTATTTACATTAGGGGAACCGCCAAGGACCAAATCTAGAGGAAGATGCAGTTCCCGGCCCATCATCATTTTGGCCGGAGTGTACTGTGTAGTTTCGTGAACGGCCGGCCGTCCTATATGCCAGCAAACCCAGTTGAATTTTTTGATCCCAATTTTTCTGATCTTCATTGGCGAATTTCGAGAGATAGTCTAGAAGTGTTGTGTTAAAACGTTCCACCATACCATCAAATTGGGGGTGTAAAGGAGTCGTTCTTGTTTTATTAATACCCATAATCTTCATTATTTCGCGAAATACTTCGGATTCGAAGTTTCGCCCTTGATCTGAATGGAGCTCCATGGGAACTCCAAACCGTGAGAACACATGGTCAACTAACACCTCCGCGATGGTTTCAGCCTCTAGATTTCGTACAGGCATTACTTCTGGCCATTTTGTAAAATAATCCATTAAAACAATAAGAAATTTGTTTCCTCGCTCGGTGACAGGCAGAGGAAACAAATTCAACTGCTACTCTTTCAAATGGGGACCCGACATTAAATTGTTGCATTCTGGCTTGATTGCGAGTACTTGGTCCTTTTCGAGAATTGCAAACGTCACATGTTCTACAATAATCTTTCACATTTTCTCTACATCCTACCCAATAAAATCGATCCTTAACTTTTCTTAAAGTTTTAGTTACGCCCAAGTGTCCACCGTAATTGGTGCTATGTAACTGCTTGATAAGTTCGATTTGTACGGCGAAAGGCACCACCAATTTCTCTTTAATTTCCCTACCATTCGCGTTCTCCCACAAACGATACAGTACACTCTCCTTAACCATCAAGCAGTCCCATTGCGCCAAATATGCTTTCACCAGTGGACTCATGTTCGATACGTCCTGAAAGGACGGCTTGTAATTACTATTTTTCCATTCTATAATTAACTTTAAAGACGGATCTTCGAATTTAGCTTTTCTAAAGCCTTCAAACGATAATTCGTTTTCATTAAGTTCAAAATGTACAATTTTTGTAACATTTACTTGGACATCATGTTTTTCTTCTTTATTGCAGTGTTTACAAGTTTCCTAACAAGGTCTTCTCGATAGAGAGTCTGCATTAATATGACTTTTTCCACGACGATGACAAACATCAAAGTCGTAAGTCTGTAAATACTCCAACCAGCGGGCAGTTTGTCCCTCCGGATTTTTAAAGTTCATCAACCACTGAAGAGCCAAGTGGTCTGTACGTACCACAAATTTTCTTCCAAATAACAAAGTATGAAAGTTACTTATGACCTTTACTACAGCATACAATTCTTTTCTAGTACGATGAGCACGATGTAATGTTTTGCTATAATAACCAATTACTTTTTCCAAACCATCCTGCTCTCGAGACAGAACTGCTCCAATACTACAGTAACTTACATCTGTGTCCAAGTAAAATGTACCTGTCTCATTTGGATGTGCCAATATCGGAGCCGACGTTAATAATATTCTTAATTTGTCAAAAGCCTCCTGACATTCCTTCGACCAAATAAAACTTTGGCGATTCTCTGTTAATGCGAACAGAGGTTTCGCAACAATGGAGAAATATTTAATGAAACGTCTGTAATAACTACATAAACCCAAGAAACTACGAACTTCACGCACATTCCTGGGGATTCTCCATTTTTTTACAGCTTCAGTTTTAACACAATCTGTATGAATTCCATCACCAGTTAATACATGCCCTAAAAATTTAATTTTTCGTTGGAATAGATGACATTTTCTTGGATTTAGTTTGAGCTTAGCATCTCTTAATAGTTGGAAAACTTGTTCTAATTGAATCAGATGGTTATCAAAATCTCTTCCATGGACAAGGATATCGTCTATATACACCATAGCACTCTTCCATGACAGTCCATGTAACACTCTTTCTATTAACCGTTCAAAAGTGCTTGGTGCATTGCAGAGACCAAAAGGCATAACTGTAAATTGCCATAATCCAGCACACGAAGTGAATGCTGTCTTCTTTTTGTCAGCTTCGTTCATTTCTACTTGCCAATACCCACTCTGCAAATCTAAAGTTGAAAACCATTTTGATCCTGTTAACGCATCCAAAATGTCATCAATTCTTGGCAAAGGATAAGAATCTTTCTTCGTTATTTGATTAAGTTTCCGATAATCTACACAAAATCGTGTAGATCCATCCTTTTTCTTTACTAACACAATGGGAGAGGCCCATGAGCTGGATGATGGCTCAATGACTCCTCGGTTATGCATATCTTCAACCAATTTATGAATTTCTTCAATTCGAGAGAAAGGTACTCGTCTTGGATGTTGCTTAATACAGCTTGCTTCACCCACATCTATTCTGTGTCTTATTAAATGTGTTCGGCCCAAATCACCCGAATTCGTGGCGAAAACTTCTTGGTATTGTTTCAATAATTTAAGAAATTTTCGTTTTTGTTCCGGCGTTAACTCCAAGCAGCAAGTTTAGAATAGTTGTTGTATTGAAATCGGTAATCCACTACTCAAATTCGTGAGCTGATCTTCAATTTTTCCTAGAAGTTTCTCTTCATTATTTGAACATTTCAAATTTCGTATTAGTTCAACAGGTTGTAACACTCTTAACGGGGTTCCCTTCTTGATCCTAACAGGTTTATTAGAGATATTCAACATTCTGATTGGTAACAGTGCTGATTGGAATAAGACTCTCGCAACGATTATATTTTTTTTCCAGCTTAGAGATTTCTCGGGTTCCAAGAAATACGGCACTTGATGTCCAAAATTCTCCAGATGGACTTGCACCATAAACTCTGATGAAGGAGGTACAGTAATATTTATTGGAGCAAAAACTGGTATGTTTCTATTGTTACATTTTTACAATCTAGAAGAATTTCTTCGTCTTCAATACAAAAAACATTGTTTTTTAAATCGACCACGCAATCATTATCACGAAGAAACTCCATTCCCAAAATGCAATCTTCACTTACTGCTGCTATGAAAGTTTTATGCTTTATTTTGAAGCGACCAATTTCAAATTCAAGTTCTTCTGTTCCAAGGACTGGAATTCGGTCTCCGCTAGCAGTCTTCAACAAAACTTGTTCATAAATATTATTACTCTTTAATGTTTTTCCAGAAATTTTATAAAATGTTTTTTGATGTAAAATGGTTACATTTGCTCCGGTGTCTACCAGCATTCGACAGGGCAGTTTTTCTATAAACCCTTGCAACACTGGACTAGTTTCTGCTTTTTCAACCTTTCAATCGATAATGGTGGGGCTTCTACTTATTTGTTCAGCCAGCCCTCGCCCCTCGAAGCTGGCAACAATAAGTTTTCCGACGTCGTGTTGGTGCCTCAATCCACCGTTTTCCTCACAAAAAACCTTTTACATTGAGAACGTATATGGCCTTTTTTTCCACACCCCCAACAACGAATTACATTGCTCGGAGAATCTTGAATCAAACGTTGAATATTGGCAGCCTTTACCTCATATTCCTCTTCAGCTTCAACCGTTCTAATTCTCTTAGTCAACCGAGTCGCCTTTATTGCAGCTTCAATGTCAAGCGTTTTGACCACGGCTTCTTGCAAAGTCCGAGGACTGGATAATCGCACAATCTTCTGAACTTCAATATCCTCTATACCCTCTACGAATTGTTTTGATGCGACTAATTCCTGCGTTTCCAGTGGGGAGTTTACAAAAACTTTTTTGCTAACGTCTGAACTTCATACGCGTACGACGTAAGATCTTCGTTTAGACGCTGTGTTCTACTTCGAAGTTGATCATACAAAAGTTCAGCTAAATGGGCATCACCAAATCTCAGTTTTAGTGCTGATGTGAGCTTCTCATAATTCAGTCGATCTTCCTGCGGCAAATTCTGCAATACATTCACAGCTGAATCCCTTAACATTGCCGCCAGTACATTAACCTTCTCTGAATTGTTCCAGCCATTTATGTCGGCTATGATATTGAACTGAGTGAAATATTCTTCCCACGAAGCCTTACCATCATATGGATTTGGTTTAATAATGATTTTATTGCTCGCGTTCGTTGACATTGTCAACGGATTGACAGATGTGTCAATCATTCTCAAAGCTTGGAGTTTTTTATTAAATTCTACTTCAACAGTAATTAATTTATGATCTAACTTTGAAATTTCCTCTGTAAGACGTTCATTTAATACGGCCATTCTTTGTTCACAAACTTTAACCAATTCTTCGCTCTGCACCCTAAACTTGTCTTCCAAAAAATTCTCCATCTTAGTATGAATTTCAACCTTAAGAACTTCTAAATTGTTCCTCATTCCTATCATCAGTTCTTTCTTATTTTGACTCGTATCTTCTTGAATTTTCCTCATCATTTCCATTAAATCTTGAAATTGCGATGATTCATCTCGCGTAGCCATTCTTCTCGTCAGCGGCATCAAAAACTTCTGACACCAATTGTTACGTGGGCTTAATAACCCTTGCAAAAGAAAAATAACTTTATTTTTCTGACAAGAGAGTACAATTTTCAATCTTATTCCATTTTTTCTTTTTTTTTTATTTCATAGATATCTTGTAACAATATAAAAAAATTATTCACAACGGTTTTAACTCTCAATTTTTATTAGGTTGCTAGATATCGAAATGAAATTTTAGAGCCCTTTGTCAACCAGTTACATGATGATGAACTGTACAAGGGATTTTTTCAACAAGATGGAGCTCCAGGATTCATTGTACAATGAACAACCTAAATTTCTTAAGAAACTTCTTTGATGAACTCAGAATTGGTCGAAATACAGAAATTCCTTGGCCACTTCGTTCCTGTGATTTGACAACTTGTGATTTTCCTTATGGCCTCATCTTAGAAACACAATTTTTCAAACGCCGGTTGCAAATCTGGAGGAGTTTCAGTAAAGAATTGAACAGAAATGTCTACAGATTAATAACAATCCTATTATGTTAGAAAATGTTTTCAGAAATTTTGAGAGAAGGATTATACGATGCATTGGCGCAGAAGAGCAACATTTTCTACACGTATTATAATATCAAACCTGTTTTTAATACAAATAAAAAAAATCTTATTTACTCTCTTGACTTGAGTACATTGGAAAAATTGAGGTTAGATTAGGCGATCAATGACAGCCGTCATCGATCATAAACTTGAATTTCAGCGCAGACATATTTCCAAAAAAAAAAAATAATAAAGAAAAATCAGTGGCAACTTGATAATTTTTTTAAATGAACACCTGTTATCTTGACCAACTTGATAGACAATCATGTATAAACAGTCATGCTGAATCTCAAAAAATCTATATCTATAATTGACAAAAAATTGTTTCATCAAAAATATTTAAGATTATGGAAACAGGAAATGATATGAACAACATATGTGGTATGTGTTTGTAGGTTTCAACGAATTGAGCACCTTTTAGATTTCAAAATGCAAGCAAGAAATTGATGAAATCAGATCCG